TGCGCTTTTTTGACCTGAGTTGCATTAAATAGTCTCTTAAAACTTGGTAGTATTAGTTGTTCAAATGGTAACATATATGCCCAAAAACTTGAAAAATATTAGATGATTGCTTTTTAAAAATGCTATTTATAAAATTTGGTTTTGATTGCGACATTAGAAATATTCAGATTATAAAAGTTTTTCACATATGTTTTAAGATTTTAAAGCTTTTAAAAAGTACGGTAGAATGCAACAATGTGCTTGAATTTGTTTGCTTCTTCGTCAGCTTATTCGTTTGCATACTAGAAAAATGGCGAACACCCATCAAAATACTGATTCAAAATACACATCTTTCACTGGACACACAAATGGGTGCGCGCAGCAAAATTCAGCCCTAATGGTAAGTTAATTTCATCGTGCGGCGATGACAAGTTAAGAATTTGCGATACATTTTCAGGCGAATGTATGCGAACGTTCACCGGGGGAAGAGGTATAGGACGACAGCTGGCATGGCATCCAGACGGCAATCTGGTGGCTTTAGCATTAAGATGTAACCGCGTTAAGATATTTGACAAAGCTGAAGGCGAGCTAATACCAGAGAACGTTTATAAATGAGAAGGCGCATTTTCTGTGTGAACTAATTGCTGCCAGAAATTTTGGGGTGCAGTCGGCCAAATATACCACTCGTCGACAAAGTGCACCACTCGACCGACGGTGTCGGCAGAGAAGTGTCGGCTGCCACCATACCAAAAATTTTTCCGTGCCACCACACTTTGAGCAAATTTACCATAGTTCAAAGCAAAATGAAAAAATAAGAACGAAAAAGGAAAGAGGAACAGAAATATAATAAGCACTAGGCAGAGGGGATGCTCGCGGAGGCAGGCGCGTGCTTGAGTCGGATCAAAACAAACTCTAAAATAAAAATGGAAGTCAGAACGACAAGTGTTGAGTAAGAAGCGGGAAACGGGGAAAGGAGCGGGCTTTTGTACATTTGCTTGCTTGCCGAAAATATGATATTTGCGTGAAATCGATTTGCTGATTGTTGCAAATTGATTTTTGCAAACATGTATGAATTTTTCTATTTCAGCTAAGTTGATAAGATTTTCTTTTTATAAAAACTATTTTATTAAAATTTATTTAAACATGTATGTATGTATATATTTACATTTATTTATTTATTGCTTTTATAATTTTATTTGATATTTTAATATAATTTAAAATTAAGCCAAATTCAGTTGTCATTGTTAAATACATATACATGTGGGGGCTGCCTTAATTAAACAATTAATTACACGCAACGAGTAGGGTTTAACAAAGTACATTTATTTACTGCTTGATGGCGTTCTTAAATTTATTACACGATACAATGATTTTTACAAGTCCGTCCGTTTCGTGTGGCGATATATTTGCGAGTGAGTTTCTCTTTTCGTTTCTTTGTCAATCGGTAGTTTTCAGTGTTGTCTTGTACGTTGAACAGTGTTGTATCTGTAAGTCATTGGTCAGGGTTGCTTAGTGGCATTTTGTGTTCGTCCATCAGTCCGATCCCACATTCGGCCATCCTGCGCGTTTATTCGGCCTCGAATACGGGATTCCACTTCTTCATGAATTCAGCAATTGTTATAGTGCGTCGGGGTCCTTCTTGCTCTCCGATCTTGGCGACCTCGTATCGACCATGCTCCATCTTCTTTGTTACCTTGTAGGGCCCGAAGAATTTTGCCTTTAGCTTTAGTCCGGCTCCGTACTGCGTCCTTTTGATGGCGACTAGGTCGTCGATCTCGTAATTGACCTCCGCTCTACGCCGCTCGTTAAACGTCTTTCGGTTTTCTTGTTGTATAACAGCAATATTGTTCTGCACTTCCTGACGCATCGCTTCTCTTTCGGCATCGAGTTCATCCACGGCTACATCTTCCAGCAGCTCTTGCAATGGGTGCACCCCTTTGATCCGCATTTCCAATCCTGTAAGGATCTTGAATGGAGAATGCTTGGTGATTCTTGGTGGTGTGCTATTCACCAACGGCTGTACCCGGTCCACGTGCTTATACCAGCTCTTGGGGTCCTCGCAACATAGCTTGGATATCATGGGTATGATGATCCGATGCATGCGTTCTACCTGCCCATTTCCTCTCGGAACACCCGTCGCTATTAGCAAATGTTGGATTTCCTCATTTTCGCAGTACTCCTTGAAGGCGCTGGAAGTAAAAGCCGCGCCTCTGTCAGTAATGACACGTCGTGGATTTCCAAATAGCGCTGCCTGCCTCCTCATGCAATCGACGACCGCCTCCGCACCAGTTGTTTTCGTTGGATACAGCCACACGAATTTGGAGAACGCGTCCACAACTACAAGAATGTAGTTGTATGCCTTCTTGGTTGACTCCAACGGTCCGACATGATCGAGGTGGAGCGTTCCCAGTGGTTTACTTTCCTTGTCGATGGGGTTTAAGAAGCCTTCCTTTTTGCCTGTCTTTGCCTCGTGGATGATGCACTCTACGCAGCTTCTGACAACCTTGGATACTTTTGAATGTAACGACGGAATGTAAAACGATTTTTCTATGGACTCTTGAGTTCTCTTGATGGAAAAATGACCTTGCTTGTGTGCTGTTCGGATTATCTCCTCCTCCATTAATGACGGAACGACGATCAACTCTTTGGTGGGATCCTTGTGCAACACATCCTGCTTCATATAGAAATCATCGTAGCTGTCTTTCTCCAGAACCTTGCATATAGCTCGGATCCAGTTATCTTGTTGCTGCGCCTGCTTCAGTCGATGAACAAGGGAGTCCTCCAGCATGAGGCACGATACCCTGCTTAAAGCGTCGACATGCCGCATCTTCGTTCCACGCCGGTGCTCGATCTCATAATCGAAGTCTTGCAAAAACATCGCCCAGCGGGATACTCTTAACGGAACGTCTCGCTTTTTCATGGTCATACTGAATGCATTACAGTCCGTTATGATTTTAAACTTGATCCCCATCAAGTAAACTCTCCATTTTTTTAAAGCTTCTATTATAGCGAGTACCTCGAGTTCGTACGAATGATACTTCTCTTCCGGGGGTTTAGTCCGGCGACTCATGTACTGCACGGGGTGGAATGATTGATCTTCGCTGTCCTTTTGTAATAACACAGCTCCATACCCGGACATGCAAGCATCTGTATGCACTTCAGTCGCTGCCTTACGATTGTACAACCTTAGGACGGGAGCATTCATCAGTGCGGCTTTCAATTGCTGGAATGTTACCAACTGCTCTTCTTTCAACTCGAACTTGGCCTCTTTTCTCAGTAAATCCGAGAGAGGTTTAGCGATTCTGGCGTATCCTTCGACGAACCTCCTGAAGTACGAGGTCAACCCCAAGAAACGCTGTAGAGCTTTCCGATCGTGCGGCAACGGGAAGTTCTTCATTGCTTTGGTTTTCGCCTCCGAAGGTTTTATTGAACCATTCTCGATGACGTATCCCAAAAAATCTACTTTACCCATTAGAAATTGGCATTTGCTCCATTTTATCTGCAAACCATACGCTGCAGCCTCGCGCAGGACTCGCCTCAACTTTGCCATGCCTTCGATATAATCCTTAGAGGGAATCACCAGATCGTCCATATACGCCACTACAATACCATCTTGTATGAGGTTTTGGAAAACGGCAAGAATAAATCTTGAGAATACCGCTGGCGAGTTTGATATGCCAAACGGTACGTATCGAAATTCGTACTGCCCGTTGTATGTTACGAATGCGGTGTATTTCCTGGAACTCGGCTCTACCGGAACATGGAAAAATCCGTTCTTCAAATCCAGTGTAGTGAATACCCGAGCGCCCTGCAAACGTTCAAACACGTCGTCCATTATCGCCATCGGGAAGTTATCACGCACTATCTTTGCGTTCAGTCGGCGATAATCGCAGCATAGACGTTTACCTCCATCCTTCTTCGAAACCAATACCACTGGAGACGCATACGCAGAAGTGCTAGGTTGGATAATGCCATCCTTCAGCCATTGCTTCACTTGCTCGTCTACTATTAGTCTATCTGCGTATGAAATTCGCCTTGGCCTGTCATATACCGGGAGGTCATCTGAAAGTAGAATTTTCATCTCTACTGGCGATTGGATACTCCTCGTTGGCTTGTATTCTGCCATCATACCACCAACCTCAGCTGCGTGTTCCCTACTTAGATGTGAAAGATCGACTACTTCCGCAGGCGATTCATCTATCGCTTCCGCCAGACATAAGTCTCTAAATTCTTCCGATAGTTCGGCCACTCTGTTCAAGTCCTCAACTTCCGGCTCTTCACCAACCACCGTGCACAAGGTCAAACTCTCATGGTTCGGCCTCATCTTCTCCTGCGACATCCTGTACCCTCTCGGTCCAGTGACTACGACAGCGCCCACGCTCTCATCGTATCCTACAGATGGTACCCTCTGTACTGGGATGTGCTCACAATTCTCCTTGGTCTTCTCTTTTCGTTTCCTTGAACCATCATGTGCCTCCTTCCTCGAGTTGCCGCCTGCTGCTCCAAGCTGTGCCGCACCAACGCGCGAGCTTGACTCTGCCTGTTCACCAAGTGCATGTTAGTTGCCCTGCTTCTTCTTCAGTGCCTCCTTTTGCCTAAACTCAGCACCGTCTTCCGTAACGATCA